GTTGGAGGTTCAAGGTTAAACGGAATTACAGGATCTGATAAAGTTGGTATCCAGCTTGGAAGGTTGAAAACTTTAGTCAGATTTACTGACGAAAGAGTTCTTGCAAAGTAATCAAAACACTCATTCATGGAAAACGAAGGGAGGATTTCATCTTTTTTGTTGAAGATCTTTTTGACATATCCCCAGAAATTTTTAGAGATGGAATAACCATGATTCATCAGGTCAGCATTGACTTGACACGACCTATTGTCTCGTAGTATGTCACGCAATAAGCGAGATACGTATTTGCAAAGTCTACCACAGCAGCACTTTACAAGACAAGCACGAGAAGAAGCATCTGTAGCGACTGACCCATTCGCATCCTCATCCACCCCAGCAGAAGGACGCTCCGCTTGAGTGATTCTATGTTTACAGCGCCACGCATGGCGGCCCAGCAAGACAAAATTGTTACCGCAGAACGAACAGACCACACCAGCGAGCAAAACGAACAAAAACCGTGAACAAACCATGCCCTCCGACAACCAAAAGCAGCTCCCCACTGACTAATCCAAAGAAGATTTCAATCCAAGCACAAAAGGACGTTTAAACCAAGGACATGCACAAAACGTGTCCGTTCTGCTCAATGTCCTAATAATAATAATAATAATAACAATAATACTGGTACACAAAATGCAGTTTATAATAAAAACAATGAAATTTTTCTTTGTATGACTGATAACTTCTCATTATTCAGTTTATCATACCTACCAGTTTTTTTATACTTGCAGATGCATTGGTTAGAACATCAGTGATCGTCAGCAATCTTCTAAGCCAAGGAACAATGTTTTGAAGGGCCTGCTTCTCCATCGTGACTGACTTCATGTTTGTCTTGCATTTGTCCAAGACCTCAAGCTCAATTCTGTACAATGTCGTTAAATCCATAAGGTAGTAACAAAGATTCTTTGCTGTGAATCAAGGGGAGTCACATTGACCATCGCCTGCGACAGCAAGCTCCTGATCCTTCAACTCCTCAAATATTTTTTCCTGTTGCCACTTCCACCATTCCGTTACAGCAGGAATCACATACAGCCTCTGCACCCTAAAGAAGGTGGACTTTGAAGTGAAAGAAAGGCCCAGGAACTTAGCCATCTTAGCTACTTTGATGAAACTGCAAGCGGACAACAATATGGCAGCAGAGGTCTGGAGGTTATAGACAAGAACACCATTAACTTTTCTAGACAACCAAAACCTGCCTTTATGCCCAAGAGGGCATGTCCATTTTACTACCAGACTGGTGCCAAAAAGAGTGTGATCAACCCTGGTTTGCTGCTGGCACCCAGGATGCCGGCATTTGTCTGCAAACACCTGCATTAGGAGGTCGAGAGCACATAAGACCTTAGTGCCTTGTACCAGCTTTATTTCATCTGGATGTTCCTTGTGGTCTTCCTAGCGACTTAATTTATTTTCTCGAGGAGGACCAACCACACATGGTACGGCTGGTACAGCTGTGGGCACTGGTCTTTCTTCTTGAGCCTGCACCACTGGGTCCTCGGTCTGAATGGATACTGACACTACTACAGGCTCTTTTGATGGCTGCTTGCCAATGTCATCATCATTACTTTCTTCATCAAACACCCCAGATATTTCAAATTCAATGGCAGCATTCTCTTCCTGTGTCATGTCCATATCACATTCACTATTACTCTCCTCACTATAAGCGAAAACAATGAAACCAGTTAAAACCTTTCTTTATTGAATTTGATAAATTGTATTGTTTATCACTGTCCACTAACCAAGAAACAAAATTCTCCAATCACGCAAACCGTAAAAACTCAAGGTAGATTGTGGAAACTGTTTAAACTAATTCATGACTGAGTTTTATATCCTTCACATAGTGAATTTATCTTAGAGAAACACAGTGAAAAAAAGCTGAGTAAGGCTAACTCAAAATAATGAGTAAATCGTTACATCAATAGTGACCCATTATAGTGGGTTAACTCTAGCAGAAATATTGGGTTACTATTACTTGTTGGTAAGAGTAACTTTACTCAGAATGAGTAAAGTGGACTCGCAAGTGTGAATTAAAATACTCAGTTGCTGGGTAGAACTAACTCAAAAGTATGGGTAAAATTACTCAAGACAAATGCATCCATGGTGACTCTTTATTTTGAGTAAAATGCTCAATTACTCTTAATTTGAGTAAAATTTATTCTAAATTTTGAGTTAAGTTAAAGTTACTCTGACAACGAGCTAAAATATTACTCAAGGAACTCAGTAAAATAGACGGCTATAATTACGCTCTATTTTGAGTAACAGAAAACTTAGTTTAAACAATTTGAACCACACAATCTTCTACAATAATGCTGTAAATCATCAGGGGTACGAGGATGCATGCAATTTTCTAACTCAATTTTTACTGTACTGCATCAGTTATGAAACAAACATTAGACAATAACTACTGCACACTGCAGAAATTCAAGAAAATCAATCTTTAATTTACTGGACCACTTAATTTTGAAGATAGCTATACTGCATTAACAGTTCATGTTACAAAGTGCACAGTCTTAATCATTGCACACTGGAAAATACTCTCCAACACTGATGTGAAAACCAATTATTCCATACGGGTTCCACTATATTGAATAGCCATTTTAGTGGAAAAAAAGAAATGTATTTGCTTAAAAAAAGTGATGCTTAACAGAAATCAATCACTTTTACAACTTGATCATGTTATTTTGAACTTCTTATTTGCAAAGAAAAGGAAAATGCACCTGGTTGACGCTATAACAGTTTGGTTTTCCTAATCACTGTCTGCTGGATGGAATATTAAGTTACAGAAAAGTCAAAGGGAGGTATACCCATTGTTCCCTAAGAGTGGCGTGGCACTAACTGGAGTAAATTCTGTATGTAATGGTATAGACCTAATCAGAATTGTATTAAAGAATTGATATTACTCAACATTCAGGATCCTCTTTGTGCTAGTTTATGTAAGAACCTGTTGAGGGTGGGAAAATGGAGGTTCTTAATCGGCGGGTTTTACTATATTCACCTGTAATTCGTGAAGGGAATTTACAAAGGACATTAGGGAAGAGGGAAGCTTTTTGCCATCAGAAATGTGAAATATGCATTTTTGAATATAGGAATAAAAATTTGCCAGTCCGGGAGGATAATTATACATAAATACACAATAAGTGGCCAGAAGTGCAAGAGCTGCTTCAACCAGTGAAACTTCAAAGCTGCAGATTATTTGTTTGTCCGCAGCAATGTAAATTTTTCCTGGCAATGCCAGAGTTCCCATAAAAATCGAAAATGGGAATGAATTGTCCTTGCTCTCAGCAATACTTCCTGGATTTGTCTCTTCCTGTAAAAAAAAAAAAAAAAAAAGAAAAAAACATTTAAAAACTTTATAATATTTTTTATAAATAGCTAAAAAAAAATCAAAAAATAAAAAAAAAGATAAAAATATAATAATCTTGTCAAGAAAAAATTTCAGTCTAATATCATAATATTAATGAAAAAATTAAAATTTTTTTATTATACCTTGAAATATTCCAGGCACCAAAAAAGAAAAAGACATTTAAGCACTTTATAATATTTTTTATAACTAGCTTGAAGGTGTTCGATATGTCAAATCAAAGATAATAATATAATGATCCTGGCAAGAGCAAATTGCAGACCAACAACATAAGCCTAGTGAATAAATGATACTTATATTATTATCCGCTGAAATATTCCTGGTCGCTATTTTTAATATCAAATGACAATTGCCATGGCACTGCATATAATGTGTCAAGACCTAGCCTTACAAGAAGCCTATACTTATTTAATTACCCTTGTCTGGTCTACTAGATTAGTGGCCACAAGGACCAAGGCCTAAAAAACGAAAAAATTCAGAAACACACACACACATGTACATGTACTTACCACACACTCTTCTCTTTAATTGGTAAGGCATGCAACTGACAGATATACTCAACATGGAGTTCACCCCCATAGTGTGTCTTTTTGTTCAATTTTAGTCCTGATTGCCATACCCAGAGTAAGTTAAGGGCCTGTTTACATGGAGGTGGGGGCCCCACAGGTGAGGTAACATGTGGCAGGTCACCCCATCTATTATGTAAACTTGATCAAATTAATCTAACGTCAGCCAAAGGGGAATCGGAGAAGGCCAGGGTAAGGGCACAGCCAGAACAAAATCTGTGAAGGGTTTCCCCATTGTCAATGTTAGCATCACGAAGATGGCGGAAGTCGGCCGCGTAGCTTAAAAGGGCTTGATCAACAATGTGCCCCTGATGATTTGTGGCACGAAACAAGTATCCGGGAGACAGGCTCATTCCAAGTTCACGAGCAATCGACACATAAGTTTCAATACCCTTAATCGGGCATAATACTGGGTTGGGGTGGCAGATCATGCCAAAGAGGTTGCAGGCGCCATCCCTCAAAGTATTTCCCCAAATGTGATTAAATAAGAATCCATTGTCATCAGGGAAACGAGCAATATCCGAGGTCTTAACTTGCCCCAGATCCCCGCCACAGTCACCAGAAAAGAAAAGAGCCTTGAAGAACTCTTGATCTCTGGCAGTCAGCGATCTCAGCCCCGGGAACCGCCAAAGAGAAGGAAATACACTTTCCAGAGAGACGCTGAAGTGTCTTAAGATCAGTAGAAGGCGAACTAAGAACAGAGCGTAAAAGGGACAAGAACTTTTGCTTCTTCTCCTCAATAAGCAAAAGGGCTTGCTGAACAGAATCCACCGAAAAACAAAGGTAAGGGACTACCTGCTTAGGAACCAGGTGTGATTTCTTGATACCAATAAAATAACCCAAACCAACCAGCGTATAACAAACCACGAAAATAGCGGAGCAAGCACGAGCAAATGATCTGTCCGCATCTGAGGAAAGAGAGGCGTAACCCGAGGCCTTAGGGGAGAGCTGAATTTCACCCGTATGACGATTGTCAGTATACAAGGAGCAAGGTATGAGGAGGGAACGAAAATAATGGGAAGCGAGAAGACCTATAGAATGGTAAATATAGGCAGACGATTTCCATCCGAAAGGAATGGTGTTACTGGCGAAGTACCAGCCACCCCACTTGAAACCAAAATATGGGCGGCTTTCAGGGGTAAGCAGGACGTGGTCATAGCCAGATTTATCGCCACAGACTGATTGGAAAGAAGAGGGGAAAATGTAACGCGGGAGCCCTAAAAGGGAATCAAGCTGAAGTGGCATGTCCCTGATCCACAAATTGAAAAAACGGTTGTCGTTACATAAACAAGGTTTGGACAGTTCAACTGTCAACGGCATAACCAAAAGAGGAGGGGAAACTTCACCAACCCTTCCCCACAGGGAGATAGTCCCAGTCCTTAACCGATCAATAATGGTATCAGAAATGAATTGAGCAAACGGTTTACAAGACAGAGCGTTAGAAAAAATCCGATGCGGGGGCAAAGTCGAATCAAAGTTTTCTCCCCTATATTGACCTTTAAAGGGTTGAAAGAAATCTTGCACGTCAACACAGTTCTTGATCCACAGCAAAATCTTGGGCATAAGATCAAACGGGGCAATGTTGGCGATGCCCTCCCAGGCTGGAAAATGATTGTGTAGGTTACCAGCAACAAAAGAGTCGGGATCTCTGAAGGCGAGCATGGCAACATCCACGCGAGCCTGGCCACTTATAACATCTTCTACGAACTGAGATGCAATGTGCGTGTTGCCTTCTGCCATCCCCTGAGCCACCTCAAGAGGTGAGCCATCAAAGCTGACCCAACGAACTGAAGGACTGACAACACTTGTAGGGTCGAAATCTGCCGTAAATTCCCACTCTGGAATGGTACGAGAAACACCCTTAAAAACTTGGAAGGGGGCTAAAAGAGAAGGAAAATGGGCAAATAAAAATGGAGGAGGTGGCTCCGGGGATGGCAGTTTGAGCCTCAAAAAACTGAGAGGGAAATTGACTCCCTTTCAAAACTGCCACCCTAGAGCGGGTAAGGGAAAAAGGACACACAAAACTAGTAGCAATTAACAAATTTATTTGTGGCTAACCAGCTGATTCACAGGGAAATGAAAAGCGGAAAGCAGCTACTGATTAACAGAATGCCCACGCGAAGGCCTAGAATACTGAGAAAAACAACTGCCAGGCTGCAAACAGTGAAAACATCTGGGAGCAGTATGGCCAGGCAGACCACAGTAGAAACAGACTACACGCCACAATCTATTTGATCCCCTGCCAGAGGAACCAGGCATATCCTGAAAATTGGCAACACGCTGGGTGGTTTCTACGCGGAAGGACTTGTCAACCTTAGAGATGCGATCCAGGATCTGCAAATACTCCTTGTCGGCAAATAAGGCGAGGAAATACGCCTGGAAAAGCTTAGTGGGCTTCTGAAGGTAACCACCCAGTGTCTGAGAGGCAACAGCTAAAAACGATGCCTTAGGATGGTTGTGCTGTTTAGCGTCTGAAGCCAAGGATTCTGCCATGGAAAGAGCAGAGTACTTGTCAAAACCCGTTGCGGGTCTCAGGCCATAGGAAGAGAGGCGGACTATTTGCGCGTCAATGTCGGAGGCCTTCTGCTGACTTTCAAGAGTCTCAACACGCCGGCGTAAATGAGCCACAGGATCAGGCTGAAAGGGGCAAAATAAATGGACGATAGCAATGCTAATATAGCGTTGAAATCAGAAACGTGACAACTAAACGGTGTTATAATCGCGAAACAGAAGGAAACAACAACTAAAAACATAGCAAACAAATAAATGCAATTGCCGGAGAAGCAGATTGACATAAAAGATATGCATCAAACAAAATAACAAACAAACAAGCGAACTTAACTCGCCACAAAAAGGTAAACAAAATTTGCAGTACACAAGCGCAAGATCAAGCAAATGCAATGGAAGAAGACGCTGGTAACGAGGCAACTGATGAATAAAATTAAAATACTGATTGACTACAATTCCATAAAAGGGCAATAAATTACATAGGCAATGAGAATACAATAAATAACATAGGTAATGAGGAAACAAACAAACAAACCAAATAACTCCCAATGCGGGAAAAACTAAAATGAAATGCATATAGCACAACAGGCTGACAACAAGGCAATGAATAACGTAAGCCAGGAGGAGAGAAACAAATTAATAAATGTACATGGCGGTAAGGCTAAGATAAAATATATTGCAAAACGCAGTAGCCAAAAACCAACGAGCAACGCGACCAACAGAAGGCCGGGAGGCTAAAAACTAGACCAAAATGCCTGAAATGACAAAGCGCAGCAATAGGGTAAAACTAGAGAATGCAAACTAAAAACACAGAAAAAAGGGGCCAAAAGAAAAAAGCAAGCTAGATGGAGTGGAGAACGAACACCATGCAAGGAAACACAGTGAAGTGACAAATAAGAATACGCCGATGCGTGCACATGAAAAGCAGCAGCAATGCTAGTGAAGTATGAAAAATGGAAGACATATTATCTCAAGCCCGTTGGCATCTGGAAAAGATTGTGCTGGGGGTTGATCAGCTACAATGCCCTGGACCATGTCGGCCTGTGGAGGGCGAGGAACCTGAGGTCCTTGGGCTTCGTTGGCAACTGGAGCAGCCATAACCTAAGTACTCGAAAGTTCTATCGAAATAGTAATGAATGCATTTGTGCGATCCCTCTTATACTCGCTTGGGTAAGAACGCTGTAAATAGTGCTTCAAACTTCCACCATCATCGTTTCCATCTCCACTCAGTGTGTCTTCCATCTAATAAAAAAATTATATATGTATATATATATATAAGGAGTAAACAAAAGTAACACATTTGAAGGATGCATAGAAGGACTGTGGTGAAATGGAGAAAAAAATAATGGGATAAATCTCTTAATAAATCACTATGCACAATCTGAGATAGAAAGAAAAAACAATTCCACAAATTCAGAATGGGTTTCAACTGTCTCATACAAAAAGAGAGCTTCTATTTGTATTAATTTGATATTTTGAATCAGTAACTTTTTTTACTGCAAATATTACAGTAATATAGTGGAACCTGTATTAAGCGGCACCGTATTAAGCAGTCACCCTCTATTAACTGGTCAGTTTTCAAAGTCCCGAAAATTACTTTCCTTGATGTACTGTAATTTCGACCTCTAATAAGCGGTCACCTCTATTAAGCGGTCGCAGTCACCATTTGCAAAGTCCCAACGGGACTTTTTCTATTGTCTTGACAATTAAACGGTCACACAGTGTCAGTTACTTGTTCCCACAGTTTTTAAATGTAACACATGAGGTACAGCAATTGATTTCCTTGTTTATGTTCACAAATCATTAAAAAGCCAGAAATGAATGTTTCTATTGGAGGTCAAACGTCTGATCTGATCAGCACTGGGGATCGAATTCTTTGAACTGTGCGGAGTTTCTTACAACCTGTATTAGGCGGTCACCCTGTATTAAGGAGTCACTTAGCCATTCCCCGAGGGTGACCGCTTAATACAAGTTCGACTGTATTATAGAAAAAATATAGACTATTGTCAACAAGTTTTAATGATAGTATTAACTAAAAGAAATTTAGAACCAGGCACTCGTGACTCAGTGCAAGCTGATCTACCTACTGAGCTCATTAAAAAACCAACATTCTACCATGTTTCTTTGACCACAGGTGTCAGTCTTCCGGGTTGACAAGGTGTTTTCACATATTAACGTAAATGTATTTGCCAGACTTTGTGATGCTGTGTAACAAATAAATAGCCGCATATTACATGGCCACACGGATAAAATTTGTATCTCCAGGCAGACATGTATAATGTTCTGTTTATTAACCTCAATGAAATACCAAATTTAAGTCTTTATTCAACATGTGAGCATTATCACAAACAAAAATGGAGCAAACAGAGTTTGGAGTTTTTATAATAAACATTGATCTCTTATTTCAGTCTTGTAATTTTAATCTGTTAAATGTTGAAAAGTGCTCGGATTTCACTTACGTTTTATCGATATCTTCTTTAAGTGGTCCCAAAGTTTATTCTTTCAAAAACTTCTCTAAACCGGACCGATTATCAAAGTAAGTTTTAATTGCCCCCCCCCCCCAAACCCAAGCCAAAGGATAACAACATCAAACTTCTATACAGTTGCATGGAGAGGCTAGGGGGAGGACTTTAAATTCAGGAATCGCCAACAAATTGTTAAGTATATAGTCTTCCATGATGAACTTTTTTGGTTATCTTCTTCAGACACATTCCATGTATGAGTAAAGGCACTAGAAAGGTAGTGACTTGAACAAATAATTGAACAAAAAGGGCATTGTCCTCTGTATCCTTAAAGTATGCTCTGTCTTTTTAAACTATTAAAAATTATTTTTCTGTGTTGCATACCACTCCCAAGACAAGGCTGTGCTCTAAGAAAAATTGAGCTTGAGTGTTCTGAACTTGTGAAATCCAGGGTGCCTTTTCTATGAAAAGTCTAAGATTTTCTAATCACCCAAGAACAAACGTATGTGTATATTGCACACAAGGGTGGATTCATGTTTCTGTACAAGAGACTAATAGGCAATGGCACATAACACTAGGAGTGTTAATATATATTATTGGTTCTTTCCCATCCCCAAAAAGTTACATTGGATGATGGGTAAAAGGGAATTAATTTGTAACAAAGGAAATGTTTATGGAACGACAAAGTATTACTGGAAGAAATTTTAAAATCACTACTCTAAGACTGTATACTCTTATCAACCCAATCTCAAAACTGCTTCACATATCTCTAACTCTAACACTCTAACCGAAATGCCAAGTGTAAGGCATTGTCAAGATGCTTCAACCACTGTTGGGTCAATAGAAAAGAGGGAGTGTTACATAGAATAATATAAAATACATCCTAAACAATTAAACAAGTGATGGATAGTGAAATGTTGCTATCTTGCAAACTTACTCCCAAACCACCTGTCCCTAATTAAAAGCAAACGGACCCAAAAAACATTAGGGTTTTTTCTAAGAAAGGATAACCTCCCCTCATTGTTGGCAGTTGATACGATGATCAGATTTTGTGTGACGCTTTTTTTTTTCTATTAAAAACATGAAGGTCTCATATGTGACTTAGGGGTGAATCATTTGATGTTCGAGGGGGGATGGTGGTTGGAAGATTTCTAAGGCGAAATATTTTTTTTTTTCATCACAGACCAACAAGGCAGAAATTTTTTTCAGTGGGAAAACAGTGCAAAACATTTTTTTGGGGAGATTACCTCCTGCAGGATTTTTTTCACTCCAATCAGGAATAGGAAGGTCCTCAAATGAGAATTTTTAAATAAATAGCACCCTGCATTTCACAGCGGTTTAAATCTTTGAAAAAATTGATGTTTACTATTGTGCAGTGTTTTGCCAGCACTTGCAGTCAATATTTAATCCCCAATTGTAAGAGTTAAAATTTGCATGTTTGTGCTGTGCGCTTACCTTTTCAAACATAAAAGCAGTGTGAAGGACTTCCTCGCACTCCGGGTTTGTAGGGTTTAAGATACAAAATAAGCAATTATTTATTGTTTCCTTGGTTTTTAAATTTAATCAATGCAGTTATTATAATTTAGAATCCAAGTGTTGTTGTGTTTTGTTCAGTACTCCATTCAATTGAAAGTTGCTATCAATGTACTACATTTTCAGATTATAATGTCAGTAGAGCTACAAAATATGACAATGTTCTGTTTTAACAAAGTTCTGGTTTAATAGTGTTATTACAACCAATTTTATTGATACAAGACCTTGAATCAATCATATGTCTACTTGAATGCAAGAGTTTTGATTTAAATTGTCAGGTATCAATGAAATAATCCAAAGTATTTAATTTATTGATGTTATCAAAGATTGTCATGCTACAAAAGGGATTATTCTTAACTGTTTATAACAAGACATGATCAACTCAGTGAACTCTTCAGTTTTTGAGACAACCTTGCTTTATATAATAAAAGAGCTTGTAAATGACTCAGATCTGCGAGACNATGTACTACATTTTCAGATTATAATGTCAGTAGAGCTACAAAATATGACAATGTTCTGTTTTAACAAAGTTCTGGTTTAATAGTGTTATTACAACCAATTTTATTGATACAAGACCTTGAATCAATCATATGTCTACTTGAATGCAAGAGTTTTGATTTAAATTGTCAGGTATCAATGAAATAATCCAAAGTATTTAATTTATTGATGTTATCAAAGATTGTCATGCTACAAAAGGGATTATTCTTAACTGTTTATAACAAGACATGATCAACTCAGTGAACTCTTCAGTTTTTGAGACAACCTTGCTTTATATAATAAAAGAGCTTGTAAATGACTCAGATCTGCGAGACTACTGGTAGGGACGGGCTGCCTATGATTTGTAAGAATATTCTTTTTTGGCTGCACCATGTATACATGATTTTTTTTTCTCAGAGCTGGCCATGCATCAACATTTGCTATTTGCTTGGGAGGCTGCATGATATTTTTTTCCGAATCTTCCAACCTCCATCCCTCTCAAAAGTCGAATAGTTCGCCCCTTATTATACTAATATATGAATATAAGTATTTTAAATTTTCAGAAACAAACTAAACATTCCAAAATAAATATGTAACCTTACCATATCTGAAGTACTAGTTTAGACTCAGTCACAGTCCAATCAATGCTCTGAAAACCAACATAACCTCTCATTAGTTTCATTTTACTGAGGCCAGTCTCACCCTTATCTTTTGTGAAGAAATGAACAAAAACTGAGCAGGAAAAATAGAAGGTATGCTAAGAACACGAAGGAATGCAATAATTTCATGTCTATTTTCATGTCAATAAAACACATCCTGCTAGCAGAGCCTTTTTTCACTCAAGCTGGATTCTGACCACTTTCGAAATACTCTGCATAAAATTATGCTAACCCTAAAAAAAAATTTATCATGATAGATAGATAGATAGATAGTTTATTCTGATTAAAATCGCAGCCAAAAGCTGAATTAGATTAATCGTTACAATAAAAAAATCTAATAAAAATATGAGAAAAATATAAGAAAAATGTACACATATGTATCTAAGAATTTAATTACAGTTGCTATATATAAATGTGTTCATAGGTCTCTTCGTCTTAGCCAGAGGGACATTAAAATTCCTCTTTCGTCTTAAATTGGATTGACAATTGTTACGAGGTGGCAAGAGCTCATGCAGTTTATGGTCTGAGTTACAAGTGATGGAATCAAAAAGCTTAGTTGTGAAACAATGGAATGTTTATGATGATTACCGCAAATTCCCTATGGAAGGTTCAAGTAAGAACCTGTGAAACTCTCTAGTAACGTAAAACAATACAAGAAGTCACTGAGAATTCAACACAATAGAGCCAAGGAAAATAATAGCTAGAAAACAAAGAAAAACTTCACAGGGTTTTGAGACCGAGTATGACCCTCGCTTTCTTTCATAAACTAGCTTTCATTAACTCTCTATTCGTTTCATGAACTAACTGCTAGTGAACAGCAGCTCTTTCTCCTCAAGAATGGGTGTTGTATAATAATGTTACAAGAGAATCGCTATATGTTTGGGAAAGATCACAAATGACGAAGTAACTCTCTACTATTGAAAGAGCAAGTACAAACAAGACGGGGTGCCATATTTGCTTGAGAACAGAAGCATAAAATTTGCGTGAAATTCACATCTGTACTCGAATCTAAACTATTTAAAACGCACCATACTTCTCTGGATAATTAACTCGATAACAATTAACTAACAATTAAAAAAAAAGAAATGCAGCCGATGAGCGAGGGAGGTTAAGCTCATGCTAGAGGATAGCACTGAACGACAAGACAGCGACAAAGCGAAAGAAGGGTACGTAAAAATAGAACATTGTAACATCAGATGAGTATAAGTGAATGTCTCACCAGTGCATTAACACGGAGAGCTGGAGTTCATGGAGTTCAGTTTGCATCGAAGATATTCCAGCTATACGCTTCCTTTCCCAGAATAAGAGATCTAGAGATCTGTGTCGATCACAAGTATGTGGTTGTAAAGTTCCACAGAATTTCAAAAGGTCACACAAATCACGGCCTGCATCACAGCGTGGTCAGTGAAAATAGACTCTTTGATGCTATTGGTTATGCAGTTCTATGACGTATAAACGGTCTTGTTTATCACGGAGGTCTCACCCATCTCGCTACATTCGTGTGTCCTCGGCGTTCATCTTTCAATCGTTTGCCGAGGTCTGCTATTCTGTCTTCATAAATCGTTCATCTTTTAAAAAAGTGCTGAATCTTCGTAAAGTGTACATATTTAAGAGTTTCCTGAAGGTCTACTATTGATCTGTGTTTAATGAATCTTCCAAAGCGTTCATCTTTTAAAAGTGTGCTAAAAGTTTACACCCTGAGTAAAGTGTTACTTTGGATTAAACCTTCATATTTTTCTTTGGAAAATGCGTGCTACTCCTGGTGCATGCATCAAAACGGGTTGTTTAGCTCGGCGTCCATTGTGCCACAAAGCAAATTTACCGGCGAGTTATGAAGCTAAGCATCCATTGTGCCGCAAAGTAAATCTACTGAGTTGCATAGCTAGGCGGCCTAGTGCCACAGAGTAAATCTACCGAGCTGTGTAGATCGGCGGCAGCCGCTATTCCACAAAGTAAATCTACTGAGATGTGAAGCTCGGCGACACCATTTCATCATGACTTGTGATATTTTCGGCAGTGGACAAACGAACATTTTAGCTGCTGTGTTATTTATTTGGAAAAAACGTGACCATCCCACAGCAGTGCCACTTGAGCCACTGAAATCAATACACTTAACCAAATTACTGGAAAAGTTATTGACGTGAGCCGCAAACACATTCCACTGAAGGCTTTGATGATTCCCTTGAAACGTGTGAAATTGAGAGGTGTAGTGTAAGTGAACCAGTGTTCAAACACAATCATTGCAAGCATTCACCACAAAAATGTGGTCTTGGGTCATTCTTTAATATCATCACAAGTTAAGAGGACTTGCCAGTAATGGTTTCCGGCATTTTATAGTAAATTTCAGTAATTGTCTACATGTGGAATTCCCAATATTAAATAAACTTAATGATTACATCTAAAATTTTGTCAACTGTTTGCTTTTTAACAGTTCCTGGGCCGGGTTGTTCAAAGCTGGGTTAAGATAACCCAGGCGAGAGTTAATGCGAGATTTGAACTCAGATGTGAAATCTTCATTTTGCCAAAAAGTTGACGATTGGACGCTCTTAAAAATAACTGAGAAAATTGTCCAAAGAATTGTTTTTTTAACATAAGAAAAAGAAACGCGGGTTAAGCGCTGATCGGCCTTCGAACAACTGCCCCTTGTCGAACATCTATTGGCCAGTAAATCAAAAAGTTCTTTTTACACGCCTGAAGCACTCTGGCCAGTGTCTCCTCAAATAACAAGCACTTGAGACGAACCATGCGATATCACGCTGATCACTAGCCTAAAAAACCTTTTCATTATCATACACAGTTTAAATCGAGCTTTCGCTATACGCAACCCTTACGTTCAAAATATGCCATAATCATAGTTATCTATCGCAAGAACCATCCACCCTTTCCCCTCAACTGCTACCTGTACGCCTAGCAAACATGTCAAATGCACTCTTCTCAGCTTCGATTCCTCCTAGTTTAATGTAAAATGGGAAAATTTGTGGGTGGCAAGTTGGTGTTTAGCGTGTTGGGTGGTGGGATTTAATTACAAGTGACTGTTTAATACAGGTTGGCAACAATAGAAATGACCATTTGAGGTACTTTGTAGGTGTCCGCATCCGCTTAATAAAGGTGTCCGCTTAATAAAGGTTTCATTTAAAGTAAATAAGAGAAATAAATTTGGGGACTTCGGCTACTGTCCGCTTAATAGAGGGTGTCTGCTTAATACGGTGTTCGCTTAATATAGGTTTCACTGTATNACGCAACCCTTACGTTCAAAATATGCCATAATCATAGTTATCTATCGCAAGAACCATCCACCCTTTCCCCTCAACTGCTACCTGTACGCCTAGCAAACATGTCAAATGCACTCTTCTCAGCTTCGATTCCTCCTAGTTTAATGTAAAATGGGAAAATTTGTGGGTGGCAAGTTGGTGTTTAGCGTGTTGGGTGGTGGGATTTAATTACAAGTGACTGTTTAATACAGGTTGGCAACAATAGAAATGACCATTTGAGGTACTTTGTAGGTGTCCGCATCCGCTTAATAAAGGTGTCCGCTTAATAAAGGTTTCATTTAAAGTAAATAAGAGAAATAAATTTGGGGACTTCGGCTACTGTCCGCTTAATAGAGGGTGTCTGCTTAATACGGTGTTCGCTTAATATAGGTTTCACTGTATTGTTATACATGTAGCTAAGCTGCCTGTATCAATAATTGGTTCCTTTCCTACACTGTACCTATGAGTGTGCTAAAGAATTCTTGCATCTTATCATACAAGCTAAATGGGATTGCAGAGTAAAATAATATAAATTACAATGTTTTAATTTAGTACACACCTATGGTTGGTTGTCTTTCCTCTTCCGCATCATCAACATCAGGGTCACAGTCCAACATGGAAAGGAATGGTTTAAGCTCTTCACTGACCTGGCCCTTTTTTTCCCTTGCCAAGTGAAGGATAGATGGAGCCACTTGTTCAAAATTTGATTGAAAGCTTCCCAAGATGCTGCTCCCCACTCCTAGAATTCTTTCAAATTCAGCTACAATCTGGTAATGGAAAAAACAATAATAAAGGCTTTTTGTTTTTTACACAGGAGCTACAAATTGCAGGCTATATTATATCCTGGTTATTGTTAAAGTACTGTGTTTAATTGTAAACCTAAACAGCTGGAAATTAACCTATATAATACCTCTCTACAAATTGTGTGGCGGAGGTTATCCAAACAAAAGAAAACTTGGGCAATGAGCAAGAACAACAAGAGGTCATCCATGTAGAAGTCTCTTAGGACTGTACCGGTAGTTTCTTCACTGCTAGTGTTTTGGTTATCAATGGCGGTTCTCTTCAGACAATAATTTGCAGAGGTTGGACTCGACTTTGCACTAACGATCATGGCCTGCATCTGGTAGACATCGGGGGGATGATCTCTATTTGGACCTCTCCAAAGGAATCTCGGTGATGGCTGATCTTTCTCGATAACTAGTACCTGAAAGAACATTGCCTCAATGTCCGCAATCATGGCAACAGCATGTAGTCCGAACCTCATGATAACACCCACAAGAGAGTTCTGCAGGTCGGGACCTGTCACCAGTTGATCATTCAACGAGGTTCCCTTGTATGAGGCTGCAGCGTCAAACACTACGCAAACCTTTCCCGGCTTATTGGGATTTGTCACAGCATAGTGCGGCAGGTACCAAGTATTCTTGGGTTCCTTAGCAGCATTTTGACGATGCTGCTGGCGTTCGATGTGGCACTGAATCAATGCTATTAAGTCTTAAGCTTACATCTAAAAGATTTATTGAAACCTTGCTTTTGTCTTAGGTGAATTTATTGAGGCTATGTACATTTGAGACTAGATTTCAATACTTCCAAGATCAAGAATGAACTTAAAAAGTGATAAAATTTTTAACTCAAAACTCGAAAACCGGTCGTTCAGATACAAAGCCGTTTTGATACAAGTTGTTACAATACGAACTCAAGCAGTGAAATTGCACAAAAATTTGGTTCGCTTCAAGTAACGTTTACGTGTGAACAAGAAATTAACATTTTTGGTACAATGGCCAAAGCAGCTTCATAGTCTTCTTTTCTTGCAAGGTTGCTTTTGAGCTTGATATGCATTGAGTCTAGTGTTTTTACTTCTTTGGTTTCACCTAACACCTCTGATACAGATTTAGCCAGTGTTGTCTTGAGCTGGCAAGATTCAGCAGACGTAGCCTGAGCAACAACTGCAGGAGTTGAATTGGTCAGCTCCTTCCCTGCCAGACTTTCAATTCTTGGTGTCAACAACTCCTGCTCTGTTAAGGAGTTTTCTTCGTTATGACAAGTCTCGTTCAAATTTTCTTCTTGTTCACACTCCATAAGATATTCTCCCACTTGCTGGAAATCATGAATGTCTTCAAGTTCTTCATCATCTTGTTGAACGTCACAAATGTCATTTTCGTACATGGTGTCATTTTCATTTACTTCTTCGTCACTACTCTAATGATCAGTGGAATCATCATCTTCTAGAAACCCTGTATATTTTATGAATTGCAAATTGCCTTCATTGTCATAGATTCTCACTGCAGGGTGAGGGATGGGAATCCCATTGGTTATGCACTCCTTCCAACAATCTTTTAAGTATTTCTCTCCAGACTTGAGTGTATGAGTACGAAAGTGATGAAGTGGTGGGCCATCATCCTGGCTTTCCTTTTCATCAGGACCATCTAGGAATTCAACACCTGCCATGATATGATGCCACCAGGTGCCTTCACCGCAATGGAGTAAATCAGCTATTTTTTCAAGATGTGCTTGAAATGCATGTGGGTACTTAAGTATGATTCTGTGTGGTATGATGGTGTTTTGTGCTTTAGGCAAACAGCATACCAGCTTCCAAAGTCTACACTCTTGTTCTTTCACTGTGTCTCGCTGCTTGCTCTCCTCAGACTTAACCTCAGCTTGCATTCTAATGATTCCAGGGGTTATGAGTTCACCTGGTCTTCTGCTTGATGTTGCTGCAGAGATACTTGAAAAGGCATTGAAGTGACGTTCTTGCTGCTCGGTGTTTGTTGACCTAAGACAGACAATACAGTGTTGGATGGGAGCATGTACAATCAAAGAATGAAAGTACCGCCGATAAACTTCTTCTCAGTGAGAACGTTTGGCCTCCCAATGACCTCCTCACAGGCAATGGCATGAAGAAAGGTCTGATTGTGGAGTCTTAAAATGCTTTTTTGACAGCGCTTCTCTGGCCTTGAATATAGAATGCTTGATATTTCTGTCATGGTGTCTGCACCTTATCACTCACAAGTCCTTTTGAATAATGAATATATGATTATGTAGACATCATATGGTGCTAGGGTTACTTGATAGCCTTTTTATTTATATACTTTATATAGATATAATCAAATCATTTTTCTTTTTTACTTACTTTTGATACTGCCTAATGAATTTTCAATTCATAATAAATTTTTTTCTCTTTTGAACTTGTTATTCAGTGAGAGGATGAGGAAAGTCACTGTATTAATGTAAGTATTTTCTGTTCTAAAAGTTTGTTATATTTGTCACAAGCTTTCTGAAAATGATGATAATATTATAATCATAATAATGACTGCATGAAATTGTTAATTTTTTTTTAAAATAACCTTCATTAAGAACTTCACAAACAGTACTATTCATTACATATTTACATTACAGTGATAACAAAAGTACAAATTAAAGAAGGACAAGGGGAAAAGAGTAAATTTTATTTTGAAAATAATTTTCATGTGTGTACCTGTTCATAACAGTAGATGGCTGTGTTGAGGAAGACTGCATTAGAATAAAATATTATATCCATGTACAATAAAGTTGTTGCAAACCTCTAAGTTGTTTGGAAAGCACAATAGCCATCTCTCGATAGTCAGAACCACAAAGTTGCTCTTTAGTTTGTGCTACCAGCTCGATAGTCTTTTCGCATAGCTGTTTCTCTTCTTGAGAAAGGTGGTGCTTTAACTCAGATACCACATTGCAGATGTGTTCTTTCATGTCATGTAGTGGCTCTGTTGGAAGAACTTCATACATACCTGAAAAGAAAAAATTGAAGACAGACAAAAAAAAATAATGATGGTGAATAGTTACTGAAAGACATATAGTAATATTGTGACAAAGTATTTGGTCAAAATTTCATAGCGATGTGCAGAAAAAACAACAACTGGCAAATTAAACGTGAAAGAATTTGTTTTTTTTTTATGAATTTTTTTTAAATAAAAAAATGGCAATTTTGATTGAAAAAATTGAACCATTCTTAAGAAGGCACAGTTTTCAGACTGAGATGTAGAGATATGGCAAAATGTTGCAAGGAAGCTAATTGTTGAACTTCACTGTTGAAATCTCATTGTTCTAGAAACATTGTGATAGTAGCAAAAATATTATTCTTTACCCAAGTTGATATCGTGCATGTTCTTATCCTTCTCATTGATTAGCAAAGTTGGCACTCTTTGCACACCCTTCAGGTGCTCTTTCAGGCTTGTCTGTAAATTTTTCTTCAATCGTTCATCTTTCAATCCCCTTGCTACACACTCATTTCTCAACTCCTCCACAATTGCTGCTGTGGTCCATCACCGTGAAAGAAACGCATCACATCATGTACATGTGATCCCTTCCTTGTAGTTAAGTTGTTTTGTAGCTGCTCTAAACATTCTCGCCTTGTGTCAACGTAGGCCACTTCCTTTGCAGTGCACCTTCCAAGGATTTATATGTGAGGCCTTTCTACCAGCGCTGGGACATCAATGTCACTGTGCCCTTTTTCTCTCATTTCTGCAGAGGAATAGTAAAGTGCCGGATCATAAAGACACTAAATAAGATACAGGAGATGGCCATGGTTTAGAATTGTTGAGCCTTTCCCCCATATCATCAGATGTCTAGTTCTTTCAAATATTATAAGTCGTTCTCTTCTTTGACCTGGAGTATCCCTGAGATGGCCCTCATCTCCAAGCACTCTTAGCCGCTGAGATATCTGATCATCACTCATTTGTGCATAGTCATCATTGATATGGTCTCGAACCACTCCAAGTTGCTCACATCTGTTTAGTTCTCTTTTTCTTATTTCTGTTAAGGGTATCTTCCTTCCAGAAACTGTAAACTCGACCTCCTTTAATGTTCCTTCGCTGGTAAGGACTAACTTCTTGTACTGTTTTGGAACCACAAGCTCACCAATGGTGTATTCTACTGCCTCAAGTTTCACCTAAAATTGATTTTAAAATCATCGTACTTTCACATAGTTGTAAGTTAAGGTTGGTTATAGTCAGCATGGTATAGAAATGTTTGTGGTTAATATGAATACTGAAAAAAGAGGGATTACCCCTTAGCTGTCATTAAGCACACTTGTCAGTTGTCTCTGCTTTGTACGCTTTTCAGCAAGTTGAGTGAATTAAATGGACTAGTTGCGTAAAGGACCCTGTTGGAATCTGTTTCAGGAAGTTTTATGGAGGCATGAGCATGAAAAACAATGGTTTTTCTTTACTTTGTTCTCTCTTTACTTTATTCAACCAGCTACCTAAGTTTATTGTTTTATTGGTGTTTGCTTTTGCCAAATAATTTATTATTTTGTATTTTGGTGTTTTATTGACTATTGGTAGTGGTGGTGTTTGAGTTTGGAACGAACCTTTAGAGTTTCTTTAATATCTTTATTTGTTCTTGGGACAGGCACAGTTATCTGTCCTCCAGCCATTCAGATTAGTTGCCGCCTTGGATTTCTTTTGCTGTGGTGTAATGCTTGAAATCACTCTAGATCGACTCCATGGCTCTCAAGATATTCCTTGACCACCATGTTGCCCAACCTTGTATCTGTGAGACCGTATCTTCTTGCAAGGTCTGAATAATTAATCTAGGTGCATGCAATATAAAATCAGGTGTTAAATTGACTTGATTTTATAAAAAGAACTTTTTTGATGGTAAATAATATAATATTAATTTTGTACAATAGTTTCAACTGAGGGTACTTCATCAGGGACAGTTGCTCCTATAGTTGCAACGTTTTGAGGATTTCCTATTTTTTTAACTTGTAATATTTGACATGATAAAAGTTGCACTTATGGTTTCCCTTGTCAAAGTGGCCCTGATAGCAAATTAACTGAGACGGGAATCCCAGATTAAGGAAATTCAGCGTGACAGTGTTGATGCACAGTGCATTGTTAAAAGCCAAATTACAAATTATGTCATTGGCATCATGTGGAGGATTGAATGTTTTTTTTTTTTAAATATCTTCAAAAGTTTTTCATGTGTCCTGAATAGGGTATCTTACATGTCTCTCTTTATTATTATTTTTAATTGTGCATTAGAAAATTGATATCCCCTGTGAACTGTATGTTTCTTCACGTTTTCATTATCCTTCATGTTTTTTACTTCTTTCAGGGGGCTTTCTTTGTCAAACTCAATCTGGTTTGGTTGTGGAGAGTGACGTTTACACTTTCTTTGCCCAACATCTTCCATCCTCTTCTGTTTTTCGACCCGGGCAGCGACTTCCTTGAAAGACTCGATAATACAATGACCTTCGTTCTTTGGCCCTCTGACTGAAGGACTGCCTTGTCGCAAGCATCGTGTCTGCATCACGTTTCGACCATTTCTCCTGAACTTTTTGCTTCTCCTGACGTGGCCTCTGTCTGCGTTCGCGTTTCTTTTCAGGTCTGATTTTTTTTGTTTGTAGATTCAGCTCAGCAACTTTAGTTTGGGCTTCAGCAAAACTAACTTTGAAAACTTTTTGAAAGGGAGCGTCGATTTTTGAATAAATGTGTTTTACCACTGCTTTTATTGCTTTCTGTGTAGGCTTAATCGTCTTGTTGCCCTTGTTTTCGCTTTCCATTAAGGCTTGTCAAATTAGCGTCTGTGGCTTGCATTTGCCTACTGTAGTAGTTGGAAACAGGGACTGAAAATCAAAATGATGCACTTGACAAGCACTACAGTTAGACGTCGTATGCTGAGATTTTTGTGATGCCGGTAGAGCCTTCCAGTTAAAAAAGGGAAAAATGCTTTAGGTAATCGTTCCTGCTTTGGGAGGACATTTTGCGGAATAGATTGTAGATTGTTCGTGACAGTGAACATAGATCGAGCTGTTTCATCAAACATGTTACAGTAATTTTTCCATCTCTGAACCGGGTCAGTTTCCTGCTGTGCTCTTCCAGCTTTATGGAAACTTTCTTTCACAGCAACCCTGGCAAATCCGCAGCTGAATATAAGGGACATTTGGATTTTTCCGATTGATACATCGAAAGAGTTGAACGTCTTTCACTTATTACCTAGGTGGCGCGCTGATTTTATTTGAAAATTGCGCCCAAAATAATAATATATTCCTCAAACCTGAAACCTTATTTTATCTAAAGAGTTTGACATATCCTGCGTTTTCTATTTACAACAGACAAAAAAGGAATGAGAACAACCCGATCTTGCTTGAAGCTCTAGTCACTTATAAAACCATTTTCTTTCATCGTACCCGCAGAAATGGTTACATATAAACTCCCATCAGGAATGTACTGATTTTAAGAATTTCTCCTTTCGTTTTTCGTACTGTTTTCCGTTACTTCACGGACAAACCGCTAGTGTCTAGTCAACGAAAGAATTGCTTCTCTTGCTCCCGTTTATCCGCCATGTTTTGACTTGGCACCCTCGCCTTCTAACCACGCTACTGAATGGTCATTGGCTGATGTCCATCTATGGCAACTGCTGAGGCCGAATACTCGCGAGACAATATGGCGGCCGGAGAGCTCAACACGCAGAAACGCGTTTCTGAATTTCCCACCACAAATTGAGAATCTTTATTCAAGCTTGGAGTTTATATAAGGGCATTTTGATATGCTTTTTATCTTTCCGCTCGGAACCAAATGGAGGCTAAGCCGTTTCATCTTTAAATTTGTGTTGAAGAAGGGAAATCTGCTCTAATCGTCAACTGAGTAAACGCGAACATGTACTTGTTAAAAT